CCACTACGTATACTTAATGTGTTTTGTCAAACCTTTAGGTGCAGCAGGTATATTCATCCCAAGATATATATCTACACGTATTGCAATTGGTAGCTTTGCACGCCGCATGCACAAGCGAGCGAATGACAGGCCAGCACGGTATGTCTGGCTTGCTTGTGCATGCTGCGTGCAACGATGAGAAATGGGCTGTCATGGAAACGCGTATAACGGAAGCAATTGCAATATAACTCTTTTGAAAATTAGTAAATGCGCATAGTGTGCTAACCGACGTCTGTTGATTTTGGTCTAAGCGACTCTTCTAAGTCACCTTCGTACACGCTTCATCATTAAGTTTGATATAATTCGTTTGATATTCCGAATTCATACCGTTTGATAGCGAGTTGTCTGGCAAGGAATGGACTCTAATTGATGCGCACAAGTTGGGTTTATTATGCATCAATAGTGGGAGACAAGACTGGGTACTATACATCCCGGTGCATTGCTTTGGTTGCTAAGAAGAGGGTCACTCTGAACCGCATAATAGTAGAATCTACGCGTGGTAATGCTGATGATAGTGCCGTCTAATGTTTTAACTTTGTGTCACCACTCAGCTTGGTGGTCCGGAGGATCTGTGCATGGATGGAGGGCACATTTTCATATTCAAATCCGGATGTATCGTGGCGTGGAATATCAAAAAGAAAGAGCTGAACAAGGTACACTACGGTAGATATATCCTCGAGATCGTATCGAGTGCTGTGTGGAGTCGGGTGGAAGTCAGCACTTGTACTGCGATGTGTTTGTGACTCCGTGTGTACTTGCCAGTCTTCAATTTAGCATTGACATCCAATCATACTGTATGGATTAGGTCTATCATGTGCACTTCTAGTACCGTCCAAACCGGAGCCTTAGTATATATAGTATATATCTGTACCGCAGTTTCTCTTAATTATACCAAGGACTGCAGCTATGCCGTATGTGATTCGTTCTATGCACGCGTATGCGCGGGATGCGTACAGCGGCATACTGGCACGGCCACTGTGGTTCAAGAATACCACTGTGCCTAGAAACCGGATATAGATGACCTTCATACGGCATACAATCTCACACGTTCTCCTCTGATCCTGGCATTTGTACCAGGTGGCTGATATCCTGGGCGAGGTCAGCATTGAGGAGTATCCTGCTAAGGTGGAGGATTTTATCAAGTACGCCTATGACACGTATGTCTACGCTCACATGAATGGCACCTCGTATCGTGCGTGTGATCCAACTAGAATTTCCCCTTAGTCCTCCAAACCCTAAAACCCTAGTCCATTCGTTTAAATCCTTGTGAAGCCCTCTGTGAAGCCGTTTTTGGATTCTGCGGTGGGCTCTAAATGACCCGCCTCGGTCAGCTAAGCAAAGTTTACTAGCTCGCTCTCCACGAAAGAATCTGTCTGATCGTGCAGTAGCGCAGTTGTGCCATTGTGCATAGCTGGAACGTATCCGTTCGCTCAGCTAACGGGTATGAATGCGGATGGCGAAATGTATACATAGATTTGTCTCCGAATGCAGAAGATGGTCTCAGTAGGCGCCTTTGACCGGGTCATTCTGCCTGGCGCGTGCACGTCAAGCAGTTCGCTCAGAAGTAGTGTTCATCCTAACATAGGCATACGCGCAATGACACATGCTACTACACCTACACACAGAAAAAATCCACAACGCTGCATGGTTGCCAGTGTATAATTCTTCACATATGCTTTGATCCAACAGTCAGCATACACGGGTGAGGGGTGCCAATGTCATATTCAATGTAGACGCTGGGACGGAGACCCACGAACTAGAACGCTTCGCAGTGTCCGATGCTCTGGCTTTGAGCGTGAAGCTGGATGTGTGGGAAGACGACGGTGACGCGATTATCCAAAGCATGCAGAACATTCCGATGGAGATGAAGGTACTGTATGAAGGGGGCACATTTGTTCGGTGTGCACATACTTGTGCGTGACTTTTCCTGTGCTCGTGCATGCGTCAATGGAGCGCGTGTAAGCTTGTGTGGGTGTTCCTTTATTGGGGCTGTGTATTTGTAGGACGTGTTGTGTGTGTTTTCTGCGCTTTTAAAGGGCACTAAGGCGTTCGTATGTGAAGACTAAGGCAAGTATCCATTGACTGGCGAGTACGAGTCTTCTCGCCTTCATTTATATCTTCTTATATATGCGTGTGCGCTCTTGCGGATGAGGTGGCGTGTATTTATGCTGGTTTTAGACCTGCTACTTTAAATTTTTGGCCAGGTTACGTAAACAATTCAGGATTCTCAAGAAATTTCGCACGCCAAATTCTGAGTCATAACGCTTTGATTTGAATGCATACTGATGCAATAAACGAGCTCACTAGCGACATATTGTCTTCTACAAAACTGCAAATATATGCACTGTATCCGTAGGTATACATGCATCAGTGTATAGTAAACTCGCGTTAGTTAGCCTTATATATTGTTTAACGATATTATAAAATACAACGGTCACATCCATGTATTCGTACCCGTGTTTGTATGTATTTGAATCTTGTGTTTGTGTGCTTCTACATCGATATCGGAGTTCATCTGTATATACAGGCAAGCTTGTCGTATATATACAACCTCAATATTCAATCTTCTACGTCTGCGGGATGCGATACGTACACACACTGCTGTGCCCTTGGCAATCTGCCTAAAACGTCACAGCACGTTCCAATGCGCAGCAGACATACCATCTAATAACAATTAAAATCAAGATAGACCCCTTAAAATGGAAAGGGTTCGCGCAGGCAATTTGTACTCATTTATAATCGTACCGGAACACACCATTTGTTAGCAGAAATGAGGTATGTACATGATTTATGCATATCAGCCTGACCTCGCGACTGGGCAACATATTTATACTCTCCAACAATCTCTCACTTCATATAGCAAGGACTCGGTATGAATGCCGGTACGAAATTTATGATGCAGAAGACTGGCGAGCTTCAGCTTCTCCGCTACAACATCAATCTGTCATCGAGTCTCAAATCCATCCCAGACTTCTACTGGGACCGACCTGGTAAGAGCTTGTATATTCTTGTTCGCAATGTTTGAGACATCGTATGATAGGCATTGTGTATTGCGTGGCCGTTTACCCAGTTGCGAGGGGAACAATGTATCGTATACTGTTGCACGGGCGCGTTCCATTCAGAATGATGCTGACGGGCGCATGCTTGTGTGATATTCCTGTTGTATTCGCCTAGGCCTGTGTACACAAGCCTATTATGTGACTGTGATGACCAGACAGAGTATCGCTGCGCCACAACTGTGTGTGCAAAACGAAACGCGTATACTGCTTCTGGGAGTGTCAGCAGACACCTACCAAATAGCCAAGAGTAGGTAACTTCAGAGATCAGAATGCACCGCTCTGAAACGACTGGCGATTAGCTATGGACACATGTGAGGCTGGTTAGGATTAGGTAGATAGTCTCAACGTCCCGTCCCATAAATCAGTTGGCTGTCATTGTGCACTCCCACACACTTCGCAACCTATGCTAGCGCCCACATCTATGTAGACCATGTTGCGTTCTAATTTCACCCTATTTGCATACCGTGTGTATTCGTGTGTCACTCGCAGAATTAGAAAAGTTGTACCTTCGGATGTGTGAAGTGAGCCTGGACGTGAAAGAACGGACCTCCATCATAAACGAGAAACTTGGCTATAGCAACGATCTAGCGAATGTCCTCCGGGCTTATATCGACCAGTAAGTCTCTGCAAATCTTGTTTCAACTAAATATGTATATATATCCATATATCCATCCATATAT